GGAACTGCATCGCATTACATCCGGCCATCCCCCCGACTGCCGGTTTCCCGGCTCCATCTGATAAAATGTGGAGGGGTCTACCTCCCCTCTCCAACCCTCTGAATAAATAACAACCCCTTGGGTTTTTGCCCAACGGTCCCACCTGCAAGGACGGACAGAGGCCCAATTCCCCTCCTCAATCCGAGGGGGGGTAGCCCGATTCTGCCCGCCCCGCGGGGGACCCTCCCTCGCCCTTCCGACACCTCGGACCCGGTTTACCCGAGGAAACCCGAGGCGCGGAAAGGGCCCGCACCTTATGGAGCTGGAGGGGAGGGCTGATCCTCTCCCCCCCACTGCCCCTAGGGCGCTTTTCCGCCAGGGTCCGCGAGGACTGGGCCCTCGTGATCCTGGCTCCCTCGCGTAGGCCGACCCCGCTAGGGCCCGGCTCTGGGGGTTTCGTCCGCCAGTTTTTTTTCCATACTCCCGATGTCCGTGAGGACCACCCGCGGAACACGCGGGGCGGCCCCACTGGGCACCGGGGGAGGAGTTACCACCCTCTTGTCGCGGGGACCCGGGGGCGCAGGGGGGACCGGAGGACAAAGCTCCGATTTCGCCCTGTGCTTTGCCTCCTTCCCCGCCCTCGTGCAAATCGGGCATCGGGAGGGACGCTGACATGTCCCCCCCTTGTGCCCCTTTTCTCCGCAGTTATAACAGCAGAGGGCCCTGTCCTCTGTGGACGGGCACCTCTGCTGCACGTGTCCTCGTGCGAGGCAGCGGTAGCAGCGGGTGAGCCTGCTTTTTAGCAGACTTACCCCCACCATGGTCCATCCCATTTTTACGGTCTTGGCCTCCGCTGCCTTTACCGCCGCACGCGCTGGGCATTGGGCCCAGACGTTCCTCACACCCCTCGTAGTCGGCCTTAATGGCCCGATTCGGATCTCCGGCTTGGAGCATCCGCCTATGCTAACTATCGCATCGCGGATCTCCTCCCCGGAGACCGACTCCTCGACCCCAGTAAGCATTAGGTCGTCTCTTAGAGGGGTTGAGACCTCCACCCCTACATACCCTTCGAGGGCTACCTTCATTGCGGAGGCCAGGCGACTCGCCTTGACCTCCGCATCTGGGCCTCCATGGATCTCCAAAAGGAGGCCCCCATTGAAGGCCCTCTGTGCCCTTATGCTCGTAGCCTGGGCTACTTCCTCCAGGCTTACCCTCTGCCTGGCGACGGCCATTGCCCCGGCCAGGCTCCCGTGGCCAGAAAGCAGCACCGCCGCCGTGCGTGGGAGGCGCTTGCGACCTTTGCGCGCCTCCACTCCTCTCTTAGGCGCCGCCTTCTTGGGGGCCGCCTCTGCAGGAGTTGGCTTTCTGGGCATGGTGGAAGGGGGTCCAGTCCCACCACCCGCCCTGCCGACTCTCTTCTTCTTCTTCTTGCGCCGGACAACGGTGTACCCTGCATCCGGCTCCACCGCCTCCGGCGCCCTCATCTCCGCAATGGTGGGGCCGGCGGGAATTTCCGACGGGAGCGGGGGAACCCTCCCCGCCCCCAAGGCACCGCCTCCCCACTAATTTCTCTCTTTTCTTCTTTTTCTTCTTCCTCCCCCTCCCTTTGCTCTTACTCTCCTCCATGGAGAGTCCCGGGAACGGGGAGGGCAGATGCCGCAGCGGGGAGGGGCATCGCCACCCTCTCCTCTAGCCCCCTCAGTCGATCGCCAAACCCACGTAGGGTGTCGGCAATCCCCGCCAGGCTCGCCGCAATCAGCGATTCGCCCGACGGGAAGGACGGGGAGACCAAGCCTCGCCCCCATCCACCTCTACTATGGCGTTTCCCCCTGCCGGACCAGGGCTAGGGGGAAATCCCACCACCACCGGCGAGACAGGCCTTTCTCCAGCACGGAGATTTGCGAGCTCCGTTTGTTGTTTGCGGACCCGGCGCTGGAGACGGTCGTTTTCTGACCTGCAGGACTCCATGCCTCTCTCCAGCGCCGTGACCCGCTCGCGTCAATAGCCAGGGTCCCCGCCCTCAGAGGCCCGCCTGGCCAACGTCCGAACGACCTCCCTGAGGACGTAGACCCCGAATTTCAGCTTGCCACTGAGCTCGCCTTTTAGCCCAGTGGCCCGCTGGCGCACTTCCTCCATGGAGAGGAGCATCCCGTCAATGCTTACTAGCATTTCTTCGAAGGTGCCCCTTTCCATCCGGCAGATCACCTCTTCTGCCCTCCTCCTTTGCTGGCCGGTGAACGCCGGCGGCACTATTTCCGGTGGGGGAGGTCACCCCACCATATTACCGACTGCGGACAGCGCGGTGCCTTCTACCGCACTGCCTGCCGTCGATGTCCCGTCTGTGGCCCCGCCATAATCCCCGTCCGAGTCGGTGTCCGACGGGAACGACGGGGGAGGGGGGGGTCTAAAAGGGCCCGACCCATCTTTGCGGGGCCTGCCTCGCCCCTTGCGGAGTAACCGCCGCCTGTCACCCGCCTCTCTTCGCAGAGGCCTTGATCGTCCGTGTCCC